TCTTTCTTTTAATTTAATTTGTTCAGCCTCACCCAAACTCTTTGTGCTGTTTCTTTTTCATTTCTGAGCACCTGTGTTTCCTTTTGAATCCCCTTCCCTTTCCCTGCCAACTTTATGTGGTTTTTTTCAGAAATCTTCATTTTTTTTTTCATGTTTTAATTGGTTATGATGACAGTGTGTGTTGTGTACCTTTGTATTTTTTTTGGTCCTACTCGTGTAGGACAGAAGTGTTTGATTCTTAGGTTTTTTTTTTTATATTTAACTTACTTTTCTCTTATGGGATTTTGGGGATTTTGTGGAGTTGGTGACTATATTATCTATCTTTTGCCCTTCTGTTCCTACAACTATCTTTTACCAGGCAACTTTAACATTAAACAATGATATATACCTTTTTAGTTTGTTGTTGGGTAGATTCTTTTTCATTTACTGTTTAAAATGGAGGATCTTTGGTGGTGGGGTTGGTTTGTTTTCTCCTTTTTTGTATCTTAGGTTGTTCAGCCAACGGTTTCCAGTTTGCTCCTCCTCCTCTACATAACAAAACCTACAAAGAGACCTGTCAACAGTCTATTCTTTTCTTTTGTTTTGTTTTGTTTTCTTTTTATTTATGAAAGAATCTTTTTATCCAAACTATTCTTCCCAGCCTTTCCCATTTGGTATACAAGTTCTTGAAATATAGGTTTTTCATAGAAAATGGAAGAAATTACTGTGTGTGTGTGTGTTCTCTTTTGGTTTGTAGTATTTGATTTATATATATTGCCTTTATAGTGGTAAGTTTTGAGGTTTTTTAATGTGCTAGGGTTTGAATGTAGTTATTTCAATGGAAAAGCTATTGGGGTTTTCACTACACTCCTTTCTAATCTCTGTTCTTCATATCATTATATTTACTTGCTTCCTTAATTGTGTTTGTTGTGTTGTGCAGTATCTTGATGAGAACAAGTCTCTAATTCTGAGGATTGTGGAGAACCAAAACTCAGGAAAGCTGAGTGAATGTGCAGAGTAAACCATATTTTCAACTTTCTTTTTATATACATGTGTGATTTATGTTGATATATCTAATGTTTTTTGGGGTTTATTCCTTAAGCAGTGACTGTGTGTAAGTGGTTATTTTAAAAGCTAACATGTATATATAAGAATAAAAGCAACTCAATAATCTAACTAACCATTAAACCCATGTCAGTCTGTACTTGATTGAACATGGTCAATTAATGAAGAAGTATAACATTTCATCTTTTCAATAAATTACTTTCCTTATTTAAACATGGTGCAAATGGACGATAATCTTATTTGATAAAGAAAAATTAATTAATTAGTTAATTAAGAGGTTCTAATGAAGGTTGTGAGGTTACTTAATTTTTTATGAAGCTGTGGATTTAAGTAAAAGCAGTATGCACAGCATGTTAATCATATTTATAATATGTGACCTTGTATCTAATCTGTTGATGATAATTTGATAACAAGTCAAGTTTTTTGAGGAGCTAACTAATTTCCATTACCAATGACCTTGTTTTTATTCTCTACTCTTTGATGCTACATGTGCCTATAAACCATGCCTTCATTGTTTGCTGATAAGAATTTATGTTGTGCAGAGTATATTGGTATTTAGAGTTTTGTGGTCCTTAATGCTACTGCATTAATTTGTTTTGTAATATTAGTGATAACGATGTAAAAGCATGAGAGCTGAGTATATTGGTATTTAGAGTTTTGTGGTCCTTAATGCTACTGCATTAATTTGTTTTGTAATATTAGTGATAACGATGTAAAAGCATGAGAGCTGAGTATATTGGTATTTAGAGTTTTGTGGTCCTTAATGCTACTNTCTTAAGAATTGAACATTTTTGATATTTGGTCTTATGATTTCAAAATTTAAGTAATTTTAGCCATTTAGGACTGTAAATGCAACAAAATTTAAAATTACAGGATTTAAATTGTTAATGAAAAATCTTTTGAATGGATTTGTATCAGCAATTTGAGTCTTCTGATTTTAAATTTTTGTGATTTTAAATTTTGGTGCGATATCAATTCTAAATTACTGAAATTACAGCGAAATACTAAATTACTGGATCAAAATACAAAAAGTTGAAATCTTGTGACTATAAATGTATTTAAGTAATTTCAGTCATTTAAGACTGAAAATGCAACAAAATTTAAAATTACAGGACTTAAATTGTTAATGAAAAATCTTTTGAATGGATTTGTATCAGCAATTTAAGTCTTGTGATTTTAAATTTTGGTGCGATATCAATTCTAAATTACTGAAATTGCAGCGAAATACTAAATTACAGGATCAAAATACAAAAAGTTGAAATCTTGTGACTATAAATGTTATTGCGTTAATCCAACATGACTGAAAAACGCAATTTAGCCTAAATTGAATTCTTTTCCTCCCGCAAATGCAATTAGTGTGTTGAATTAGGTTTTGAGAATTTGATTGGTGTTGTGCAGTACGGAGGAGGAGGAGGGATTTTGCCTTCTTCCTATTCCTCCTATTCATATCTTCAGCAGCAGCAGCAAATGGCAACGACTACTACTCCTCAGTCCCTAATAATGGCTGCACAACAACAGCAACAGCAAAATCGGTCTTCATCGTCTATGTACTATGCCTCCCCTTACCAGCAGGCGGCAGCTGCCTCATCTTCATCCTCTGGAGCTCTTATGCTTCAAGGAGACCCACACTTGGGTGGAAGTAGCAGCAGCAATAGCAATAGGGGTTTGGCGAAGCTGGAAGATAGCTACTTCAAACGTGGGGACGATGCCAACTGAACCCTACCCTTTTTACTGAAATGTTGTTATTATTAAATTTAATCTCTGCTGCTACTTTTATGGACTTTGTTTCTCGTCTTTTTATGTACCTGAGCTTAGCTTCGTTTTGCTGCTAATTAGTAATAAACCTCTACGTTTTCTACAATCTCTTGCTTTTACTTCATCCTAAACCTAGTTGTTATTACTTCTTTCGTTTTTCTTTTATCATTTGCTTTTATTTTATTTTTTGAAATAATTATTTGAATCTATTCATATGTTCACCCACTTGATTACTGGCCCCGAGGTAAGTTGGGGAAATATCCTGAGAACATTGGCCCACAATTTATTTAGAATCATATTTTGGGTTCGCATGTTTGTTAAAGAAACAACTCAAACAAGGGCGATTGAATATCAATTATTTATTGTTTTAACTAACTGGGTAATTTTTTTTTTTCAATTTAAAATTTTACCTACTCAATTTCAATCAAAATTTTTATGAATATAATTAAATAAATTAATGAATTATTTTCACACACAAAAAAATCAACCACATTTACTATTAACTCTCTTAAATTTTTTAATGGTTGGTTTACTTGGCCATGTTCAATTACCGGATCACCCATCTCTATCTTTTACATTACATCAATATTAATAATTAATTTTAAATTTTATTTACATGCAAATTCAAAATTTCACTTAATACACATTTTTTTTTTGGTTAAAATTAACTCACTTTATTTAACAAACTCAATTAAAACTATTTTTTTTTTCCTTCACCCTAAATTGAAGTTATTTTTACGTTACCCAACCGAACATAAACTGGTTAATACTTGATTTCATTTAAGTACTTTGGTTTCATTGAATAAAACTGAACTTTATATATATCTTCGTGGATTCAACGAGTTCATTCCTTATATTGAGTATATGAGACGTAACCCTAACCATTGATTTGTATAGATCAATGAATTTTATTAATCAATTAAAATATAATTTAATTATATAACAAATAATAAATATATTTTAATTTGTTATATAAAAAATATATTCGTTGACCGGTGTTGATCGTAGGCCGACGGTTGTTAACTTGAATCCAGCGAGCTATCTGGGCAAGCCGTCTGTCAAATCTAGCGAGCAAATCTCAGTAATCCAGCGAGTCATTCGGTCATCTGTCACTCCATGGCAACCGCCACCGCCACATCTCCCACCTCATCCCCAAGCCTCACTAGAGAATTTGGGGAATTTAGAGTGGCTATCGCAATTCGTCGACCACAACTCCACGGTGGGGCTCTCCTTGTTATGACTGGTTGAAATTTTACAAGCCAACGACGGGGTAAACCAGAGCAAAAGAGTCGAACACGTGAATCGTGCTCCTAAGATCATCATCTCGTTTTTGCCCTCCCCACTCCAGAGAAATCAAGGACAAAGTTCCCAAGGAGGTTGCGCGTGCGACGACCGTACTAGTTGTGCGTATTCGAGAAATCGATAGTTCTCGAGGCGGAACTGTTCACCAGGGATTTGTAGAAATTACCTGTGCTAGTTTATTATGATGCTGGCCACGACGAGCAGAGAAAGAAAGGCTCGCGGGGCTCAGCCTAAGGATTTGGGGACTGGGTTTGTGTTTAAGATTTAGACAAATCCTATAGATTTGATTGCAATTTCAAGAACTTATGAGTTATTGCAATTTATTCTTTAGGGTCAATCTATAATTTATTTGAAGTTTGAATAGCTACACTCTAGCCCTTGACTTTATTATTAATTAGATAGTGCATATTTAAGTAATACGAAATGCATATTTAGTTTCATATATAATGCATACTTAGTTGAGAATATTTTGTTAGCATATATATTGAAAGTTTGGCAAAATGAATTGAAACATATTTGGCCCTAGGCTTCGAATGGGGAAAGATTGTCGTGTCACGCATATGCTCGTTAGGGTTGTCTTGAGGCCCCCAAAATTCACCTTATTATCTCCGAAAATCTTGCCAATTAGACTAAACTGGCAATCCTTTATCCAGGTGTTATATCGTCATCTGATAAATGCACTCCTTTCTCCTCTCTATGAGAGAGCACATAATTTTGAAGTTTTGGTGAGATTTCTCGGTCCATATTTCTGGATAGAAACACAACAACCGCAACCTCCCAAGGGATCTTCTGAAGATCAGAACTTAAGGGATCTAGGATTCAAACGGAGAAGGAAGAAGGTAGACATTAAAAAAAAGAAATTAGACAAGCAAACGAATGAATCATGCAACGAACAACAAAAGACAAGCACAATACACAACACCCTAAACGAACGGAGAAGAAAATCAAGGGAAAAAGAGTGCCTAATTTAGGGACTTAAACTCCATGAAAGAGAGAAAAGCGCAGAGGGACTTGGCCACGCGCCGCAACGCGACAAATTTAAAAAATTTCGTCGACTAACCTCTACTAACTAGTAGTAGCGGCGAGTAAGAGTCGATCTCACGAGGAGTAGGAATTAAGTTGTGAGATTCTTGTATTAATCGAATTATAACTATGAAAGCAATAAAAAGGGGGATTGACTTTATAAAAATAAAACTAACAACATAAAATAGAAATTAAATAAAATAAGAGAAGTCCAGTTTTCGGTTCAGTTATCACCCAATCTCAATCTACCGTTAATTAATTTCGACACTTTCTTTAAATTGCTAATGAATTACCGACCATAACTAACAACAAGCTCTGTTAACCGAATTTTCCCTTATCGAATATTTAATCGAAATAAGCTCTTCGACTAAACCTAACTAGCGGACAACCTAGAATAAGCTCTCTAGATTTAATACACTAACAACATTAATTCCTAGGAAAAATAGATCAGTCTAAGCAATAGACGCAAAAGCTCGGACCATTTAACTTATGCTCATGCTACCCTAGAGATGCACGATCCCTAGTTTACTACTAACGAAACGAGATAATGACACTTACGGATTAAAGCCTCGAATCTAGCAATTAAATCATGAATATTCAACCCAGCTGACCAAACCAAATCAAACACCATAATTAATAAACACGATACACAGATAACATGAATCAACTCATAAACAAAATAAATACGGCGTCTCGATTAACTAACGATGAATAAAAATCCTTCAATCCATAGACAAATCAAAGTTAGGGTTCAAATATCCCATTAAACTGGATAAAAATCTAGTCTAGCATACTAGTGAAATAAATACTAAATAAAAGATAACTGAGAGAAGACAAAAATATCTTCCTCGTGTGCGGGTGCGGCTTCCCTCAGGCATGTGTGCTCCGGGCCCTTTTTCTGTTCCTGTCTTTACGTGCGTATTTTTTTTTTCCTCTGTGCGGCTGCTCTCTGTTATTTTCTTCTCCCTGAGTGCCCACCGCTTTTTATTCTTTTCAGCCCAAATAAACTCCTCCACGCGTGAGTGTATTGGCTTGGAAATTAATTCCAAGTTCTCTTAGGGCGTGATTGTATATAATTTGTACAGTAAATATCCCACTCAAAACTCAAATTTAACTCAACTTTAACTCAACTCATTATCTCCAATATTATCAATATAATTAAATAATATCAACCAATCATTCTTATACATTACATCAATTTTAATTCACTATTCACCCACTCACATAATTTTAACTAACTATCACTTCCAATCATTTTCTCTTACTTTTACATTAAATCAACTTTAATTATTTTAATTTAAATATTATTTTAATATATCCACTAACAACTAACCATACTACTTTTTTTCAAACTTAACTATAATTCAAAAAAAAAAACTAGTTTTTTACTAGTTGAATTCATATCCAATCACCCCCTTAGCTGTTCAAACACTTCCCAAATAAATCCACCTTAATTCTCAAGTAAATGTCCAACCCCCCATCCTCTCTTTGCGTGGTTTTCTTTTGTTTAATTAAAGGGGCTGCATGAATGGGCTATGNTTTTTTTTTTTTTTTTCCAAACATCAAATTTATAAAAACATCAACTCAGAATGTACAAAGGGTCTCTTAGAGCATCTCCAATATTATAGCTTTGAAAGATAATTATTTTTGACACATGTCAATCAACTATTGTAATGTGAATCCATGTAGGAATAATGTTAAAAGAGTAGAAATTTGAATGAAATTAGTATCTCCAATGCATCAATTTGATAAGAAGTTATTTGTATAGGTGGACCAATTAAAATAATCATTAATACAAGAACAATAAAAAATTAAATCAAATACAAAGTGAATTAATTAGTCATCATGTTTAACATGGTGTTATATATTAGAAAGTGTATTCAACATTGTCAACATTAAATGATATCCACCTCATCATGAAAGAGCTCATGATAAGATGAATTGGAGAATAAATTAGTAACACACCTTCAAAAATTGATGATATGGATGAATTTTTATAATGTCAAAAGCCACATTAGAGATGCTCTTAGGGGTACTTGTGAAAGTGGCCCCCTACTTGTGTTTCCAATCAAAAACTGTGTATGGTTGGGCCAAGTGCAACCTGTTGGTTGTTTGGGCTGCGTGAATTGGACATTGATTTTATTCCATCGGGAGCTGAATTGACGGATATTCAGAAGCCCGACAATAGCTCACGTTAATTTCTGTCCAATGCTTCGCGTAAACAAAATGCTCCAATGAGTTGAAAATATAAAAGATATCAATGTGAATGAATCTATCCAAATAATAAATAGGACCAAAAATATAAACCTGCGAATAAATTAAGTATATAAATACACTATTAAATATATAAAACGTGCACATTTTTAACCTATCAGGACTTTTTGGGTTGGTACATTACAATTGCTGTAACAAATTAAAAGGGTTCATGTACATAGAGTGAGTCCTACCAAAAATAAAAAATTAATTGAACTCCACCCCATGTGAGTGTTATGTACATTGATCTATGAATAAAGTGGTTGAATCAATCACACACTATCTTGTTATATTATGCATTTATATATAAGGATACCGAATATATCATAGATAATTCCTTTGAAATTATTTGAAGAAGATTATCGAAATCAAACTAAAAATCAGAAAACAATTGGAACGCAAACGTGTACAACTAGTTATAAGTTGTAAATTGCATCCATACTAAGTAACAAGCACTGGGCTTGAACGACGTTGACGTTAGGACACAAACCCGAATTTCTGTAAGAACAAATCTATCCCGACTAAAACGCGTTTCTTGCGTGAGCCTTATCCACTTGAATGCATTTAAAATTACAGAGGGTTGTTCACTTGAATTGCTCACTAATTTAATTGGGACGAAACAGATCACTTCTAATGAAGCTTGGCTCTCATCAAGATCTCGGGTTTTTCTTCTCTGTACGGTAACGGCCGCTTCATATGCTTTGACCCTTCATTTCNACAGCTACTTGCAACGATCTTGATGGTATTCTCAACCTCTTAATCATTTATATGTTCTGTTAGCTGTTCTGACTTTTTTCGAAGTTCGATTATCGCTTCCTAATCCTTCACCATGTTTCGTTGCTGGCCGTGGTTTGAAGTTTCGGAGTTTATTTTCTAATTCATGTTGTTTCGAACGAAACATATACTGCCCTCAGTCGAGCTTCTTCAGGATCCGCCAGTATATAATTAGCACAATTCTAACTGTATAATTGACGATTTTATCACTACTAATAATAGTTTGTATTCTCCCCTTTTTCCTCCTAAATTTGATCCTCAGGTAAACCTTCTGCACATTTCTGACTGTACCTAAGAGAAATGGGGAATACTTGTGTGGGGCCCGCCATCACCAAAAATGGAATCTTCCAATCAGTCTCTGCTGCCATGTGGCGGTCCCGGATCCCCACCCCCAATGCCGGCGAAGAGAGCTCTCACCAAGACAAGCCAGATATCGAGCCCGTTCAGAGCACACCCCCCGAACAACTAACAATGCCAAAGCCCGAACAAGAACCGAAAAATCAAGAACCAAAAGAAAAAGAAGAAGAAGAAGAAGAAGAAGAAATGGAAAACAAGCCGGAAAAGCCGATGAAGAGGAACACGAGCGCGGGACTCAGAACAGACTCAGTCCTCCAGGGCAAAACCGGGAACTTGAAGGAATTCTTCAGCATTGGTAAAAAACTTGGGCAGGGGCAGTTTGGGACTACTTTCATGTGCGTTGACCGGTCAACGGGCACGCAATACGCGTGCAAGTCGATCGCCAAGCGGAAGCTGCTGACCGATGATGACGTGGAGGACGTGAGGCGGGAAGTACAGATAATGCACCATTTATCGGGCCACCCAAACGTGATATCAATAAAGGGGGCATATGAAGATGCTGTGGCTGTGCATGTGGTGATGGAGTTATGTGCTGGCGGGGAGCTTTTTGACAGGATTATAAAACGGGGCCACTATACGGAGAGGAAAGCGGCTGAGCTGACTAGGACGATAGTTGGGGTGGTAGAGGCGTGCCATTCGCTAGGGGTGATGCATCGGGATTTGAAACCCGAGAATTTCTTGTTTGTGGACAATAAGGAGGAGTCGCTACTCAAGACTATTGATTTCGGGCTCTCGGTTTTCTTCAAGCCCGGTATGTGGTTTTTCCGAGTATTGTGATGTGATGTGATGGTCTTGAATGGTTTGTGTCAGTTTTGCTATGGAGCCATCGGATGACACGACTTATGGAGCCATCCACACTTATTCACAAATAGTGTATTGACACGTGTCCTACAATAAAATAAATAGACTTTGGACAGGTGTCAATATATTAAGTGATGGATGGCTCCATAAAAAAACCATCCGATGGCTCCATAGAATTTCTGCGGTTTGTGCTAGCCAACTCAAATGACAAGTGGTTTAGGTTTTGCATTTTGTTATAATGACTGCAAATTTCGGTTGTGTTTGTTAAATGTAAAGCTGGATATGGGCCTTGAAACAGACCTCTACTAAAGGGAGAAACACAAGCGAAGAAAAAGACATATACTTAAAAGTTTGTGCAAGTGACATATGATTAAGGTTGATTACTTGTGAATGTCTGGTTTTGGCTAGATGGGCCATTAAGTTCTTTTGACGGATGGAATGA